TCTATCTCTATCTCTATCTCTATCTCTATCTCTATCTCTATCTCTATCTCTACCTCTATCTATATCATCTATATCATCTATATCATCTATATCTATATCTATATCATCTATATCTATATCTATATCTATATCTATCTATCTATATATCCCCAACCCCTATAAATTTAAATTTTGGGGTTTTTTTAAGCAGCAGTCAAGAAATAAAGACATACATCATTTGGAAAATATGCTGCAAAAGCATACATATCAATTTGAGGACTAATGTGTGGCTTATTTGAGCCATGGTATTTTCAATCACTTTGTAAGCTTGTGAAAGCTGGGCAGTGAATATGGAAGGCCAAAGATGAATCGATGCCTTTCAATTGACAATAGTCATGTTGACAATAGTCATGAGTGTATCATGACTGTTAGAGGAATAATTACATTTGTCTTGCAAGAAGTACAGTCAGGATGCTCATTAGGAAAACAAAGACTTTAACTCATATACTTTGTACAAGTTAACAAGAAGGACAAGCCTTTAAAGAAAGATATCATGCTTGGTAATGTAGAAGGCTAGGGAGCTCTAGTGGCTTAGTGGTAAGGAGTTGCACTGTCAACCCAAAGGTACGCAGTTCAGTCCACAACCTATTCCTTGGGGAAAGATGGGCAATCTTTTTCTATGTGATTTACTGCTCTAAAAATATGTGGGAAGATCAGCTATGAGTTGGTTCTGACTTGACAGTAGACAAAAACGATGCAGAAGGTTGGTGAAAAAGGAGGAAAAAATACATTATTTAAAAAAATAATTGGTTTGCTTATAATCCTTCATACACATTGTGTTTTATACAATCCTTCATACACATTGTATTTTAATTAATTAATTAATATTGATCTATGCCTATTAAAAGGGGAAGAATCCTAACAATTGACTGGGTGGCTATCACAATGGGCTTAAATAAAGCAATGATTGTGAAGACGGCATGGGGAGAGCAACATTTTCTTCTGCTATGCACAAGGTTGCTCTGGGATGGAACTGCTTCAACAGCACCAAATAACAACAATAATATTACACAAATGGTAAGCACATATTATGATGTCTTCCTCAGAAAAACATTCAGCACATGTTTACTCCTTTTCTTTGCATTTACTTAGTTATTAGATATTTAAAAATCTGTTAATATCTTACCTGGCTACTGAAGCAATATCTTCTAATTTTTCATCTTGTAAAGAAAAAACAATTACATAAATAGGTAGAAAAATACAGACTATTAAACTTATATGCCTTGTCTTGCTTTAGAGAGCTCTGGTGGCCTAGTGATAAGAATCTAGGCTGCAGTCTCAAAGGCATGCAGTTTGAATCCACCAGCCACTCTAAGGGAGAAGAATGGGCAAACTCATTCCATGCAATTAACTGTCTCTGAAAACCCACTGGAGGGTCAGCTATGGATTGGTTCCAACTCGACAGTACACAACAACAACATCTTGTTTTATATACATAATGGGATTTAGCATAATATATATTAGGAATGGATCATGCAAATAATTAAAACACAGTTTTTAGTTTAATTTTTAAATAATTTCTCCAAGAATTTTATTGCCAGATGAGCCACATAAAGCAATTAGATTATAATGTCCTGATGTAAAATGGTCACATCAATTTATCTACAAATATTTGTTAAGTAATCACCAAAAGTTTAAGAACCATTATCATGTTAAATTTTATCATTTTTAGTTATTGATAAAATGCTGAGAGAGCATAAAAATTAAAATCTGAACTATAATAGTTTTACAGAGAAGATTTCATATACTAGACCTCCTGAAATTGTTATTCTTCATAAGGCATGATTGCCAAGTTGGACTTGCAGATATTTGAGAACGTGCACTTGAAGAATTCTCCTTCATTCTGTCCGGGAGCTCTGGAAGCATAGTGCATAGACAATTGCACTGCTAATTCAGTGAAAGACTGCATCTTTCTCACAGTTTGAATTCACCAAGCAGCTCCTTGGGAGAAAGACAGGCAATCTTTTCTACTACTTTCAACTTGGGAAATCCACTGGAGGGCCTGATATGAGTTGTCTCTGACTGAACAGCAAAGAGGTTTTTGGTTTTTGTTTTTTTTTTGTTAGATGTCATTGAGCCCAGTACGGCTCATAGTGACCCTATGAACAAAAGATCTGAACTCTCCTTCTATCCTGTGCCATCCTCACACGTCCTCAACACATCCTCACACACAAGAGCCCATTGCAGCAGTCACTGTGTTCATTCACCTGGTCAAGGGTCTTCCTCTCCTTCACCAACCCTTCACCCTTCTCAGAATCATCTTCTTCTCCAAGGAATAGCCAAACCTAGCAACATGCCCAAAGTATGTGAGGTGAAGTCTCATTCTTGCCTCCAAAGAGCACTCTGGCTGCACCCTTTCAAAGACATACCTGTTTGTTCTTTTGGTTGCCCATGAGATGTCCAGTGCTCTTCTCTAACACTACAGCTAAAGTCATCAATTCTTCTTCTGTAATCCTTATTAAATATTTTCCAGCTCTCAGATGCATAGCAAGTAATCAGAAAAACTATGGCCTGAATCAGACGCACCTTAGTCCTCAAACTGTTACCATTACTCCTCAGTAAATTGAAGAGGTCCTTAACCGTAAATTTTCCTATTGCAACACATCTCCTTATTTCTTGACTGCTGGTATCAGGGGTGTTAATGTGGATCCAAGCAAGATTCTTGACAGTTTCGATCTCCTCTCCATCCATCACAACACTGCCTAACAATCCAGTGGTAACAATCTTTGTTTTCTTGACATTGTGATACAATCCATAATGAAGGCTGCATTCCTTCCTTGATCTTCTGTTATCCCACAACTCATCTGGCCCCCCACTACTGGTATTCAAAGCCTCAAAAATATTCCTTTTTAAAAAAATATTTTATTAATTTTAATGAACATTTACAGAGATTTTGGATTTCCATTCATTCATTGTTGCACATTTTCCCCTGCCCACCCCTACCCCCTCAGATCACTCCTCTCTTTGAAAAGCAAAAGAAAAATTCTTTCATTGCTATACAATCCCCCTGCAACCCTCCCACTACCCCAAGTACACACCACTATGCAACCTTAATTCTGGACTCTTGTGATAACCTTTAATACCCTATCATATATCACTTTTAAATTGTTCCCCTAAGATAGTTTTTAAATTCCGGTAGGATAGACTCAAGGTGGTGTTTTTGTTCTTGAGAACTTGTTTTAATTTTCTTCAGCCTCATTTGAACCAGTACATGAGTCAGCAAGTAGCCAGTTTTTGACATCTGGTATTGAACTTCTCCAACAATTCCTCCACAGATGTAGTCAATCTGACTCCTGTGCATTCCATTAGTCCACAGCTGTTTGTATTTCTTGAAAAGGTATTTGTGACAAACACATCAATGAGTGTACAGTTCAATCATTCTATTTTCGGCTTCATTTCTGTCACCAAGTCTACCCTTTCCGACTACCATTCCTTATTCATTTCCCCTAACTTTTGCATTCCAGTCACAAATTTTCATTCATGCATCCTGATTGCATGTTTGGTCAATTTCAGACTGAAAAATTTGGTAAAAATTTCAATTTCCTCCTCTTTGTTTTTAGCTACTTTTTTTTTTAAAGTATTGTCCAACACCAGGAAGGGCATCCCTCACTCAGCACTCTGCTGTTGTTAGCTATTGATGTGCCTTTTTAAATAATAGTCATATTAACAGGTCTTTTTTATATGTAAATGGATAGTATTCTATCACAACAGTGCTCTTCAGGATAGAATTTGAAATTGTCCTTTTAACTATGAATGCAACACCATTCTTCCTCAATTCTTCATTCCCAGCATGGTTTATTAGGCAATTGTCTGATTCAAATTGGTCAATGCCATCTATCTCATTTCACTAATGTCTAGGCTGTAGATCTTCAAGCATTCCATTTCATTTTTTACAACTAGCTTTCCTATGTCTATGCTCCCTACATTCCATGTTTCAATTATTAAAGGGTATTTTAACTGTTTCTCCTCATTGTTACTGACTTCAAATCTGGGCTCTACCTCTAATACTACAGAGCTACCCATGGTCCTTTATTGTTTATACATTAATACACCACTTTCTATGAAGAACAGTAAGACTAGAGAGAAAATTAAAGAACAATTAAATTAACTAACTGGATCTTGTAGAGAGGTATATAGATCATTCTACTCAACATGAATACAATATAGATTCTTCTCCAGTACACAAGGAACATTTTCTAGAATAGACCATAAAGTAGGTCATATGGCAAGCCTCAATAAATTACAAAATGTTTAAAGCGTCTATTCAGCTCACAGTGCTATAAAACTTAGAAACTAAATAAAGTCCTGCTTGAGTATCATTGGGTAACAACTAAAAAACCCAACTCATTGTCATCAAGCCACAGTCAGCTAGTTTTCAGAACTTGTAAATCCTATGGGAGAATTTAATCTTTCTAACGCTGAACAGTTGATGTATTTAGGTTGGCAGAACACTCCCTACCCACTAGGCAACCAGGGTTCTGTTGGGTAACATACTGTTGTTTGTTGTATACCGTAGAGTTGAGAAGGACCCTTGTGGTCTGTTTTCAGAGGCAGAAAAGATATTTCAAAATTTCTTGAAACAAATGAAAATGAAAACATAACATACCAGAATTTTGGGACACAGCAAAAAATCATACTTGGACATCAATTTATAGCCAAAAAACCACTCACAAATGAAAAGAGAAGAACACAAACCAGCACTTTAAAATGAATTATCCACCACTGGCTAAGAGCTTCTAGAAGGAAAGAACAGATAGCAGAACATGGAAAAACAATCAGAAGAAACAAGATTAGAAGTTGGTTCTTTGAATAGATTAATAAATTCGACAATTCTCTGGCAAGTAAACAAATGCAACTAAGGAGAAGGCAAGCATAACCAGAATAAGGAAATGAGCGATGTCCCAAATGAACCACCTGAAAGAAAAATGATAATGACAGAATACTATGCAGAACTTGTTGATGTTGTTTGTAGGTGCCATCAAGTCAAGTATGACTTGTAGCAAGCTTATGTATGGCCAAACCCTACCCTATCTTGTGCCATTCTCATCATGTCCAACACACTTGAGCCCATTGCTGAAGTCACCATGTCATTCCAGCTTGTTCAGATCTTCCTCTCCTTCCTTTACCCTCTCCCTTCCAAGCATGATGTCCCTTTTCAAGAAATAGCCTTGCCTAGCTACATGTCCAAAATATGAGAGACAAAGCTTTGACATCCTTGCCTCTAAGGAGCGCTTTTCACAAGACGTATCTTTTTCTTCTTTTGGCAGCCCATGGGATATTCAGTATTTGTCATCAACATCACAACTCAAAGCCATCAATTTTTCTGTCATCCTTATCATTGTTCAAAGGAAGAGGAACATTGAGAATTCTCAGAGCATGAAATCTTGCTCGTGTGAGATCGATACCCAGACCAAGTAGCTGTAGTCTGAACAGAAAGGAGAACAATGCATGGTTAAATTCAGATAGCTGTGCATCAGGGTTATTTTTTTTTAACTCTTCCATGCTGAATTATCCATTTGAGAAGCTGGACCATATGAAGAATAATGTGACATCAGGATTGGGGGGAATCTCATCATCCACAACCGACCTTGTGCAGATAACCCAAAAATACCTACTGAAAGTGTAGAGAACTTGAAACACTTACTGCAGAAGAACAAAGCCTACAGCCTTCAATGTGAATTACAAAACAAAACAAAAAAATCTTCACTACTGTGGTAACTGATAGAAGGAGAAAATATTTGAGTTACCAATGATGTAATTTTATTTGGACCCACAATCAACATCCATGGTAGCAGCATTCAAGAAATCAAAAGATGTGCTGCATTAGAAAAATCTGCTATCAAGGACCTCTCCAAAGTTTTAAAGAGCAAGAATTTCAGTTTAAAGACTAAGGTGTACTCAATCCATAGACTTTTCAATTGCTTCTTATCCATCTGAAATTTGGGCAATGAATAAGGATAACACAAGAAGAATCAGTACCTTTGAATTGTGTGTTGGAGAATACTGATTATTCCATGATCTTTCAAAACAACAAACAGGTCTGTCTTGGAGGAAGTGCAGAGTATTCTTTAAAGTCAAGAATAGTGAAACTTTGTCTCATATGCTTTGGGCATGTTGTGAGGAGAGGCTAGACCTTGGAAACAGACATCATGCTGGGAAATATGGAGGGTCAGAGAAAGTGAGAAAGACCCCCCAACAAGAGGAGTAACACAATGACTGTAACAATGAATTTGCACATATGAGAGAACGTGAGAATGACACATGAGAGAGCAAGGTTCCGATTTGTTTTTCATAGGTTAACTCTGAGTCATAAGTGATTCAACACCAATAACACCGGAAATGGACAAATTTCTAGAAACTCTTAGCTTCCTTAAATTAATTCAAACAGAGTGAGAAAATCTGAAGAAAATCTATCTTCTAAGAAGACTTTGACCAGTTCACAAAACAATCTCAAAAAAAGTTCTGACCCAAATGGCTTCACTGGTGAATTCTACCAAACTTACTGATGAAAATCAACACCAACTTTGCCTAAACTATTTCAGTATATATAAAACCAGATGGAATACTTCTATACTCATTCGATGAGGTTAATATAACTCTTGTATCAAAAGCTAGTAACGATACCCTCAAATAGACAATTATACGTCAGCATTCCAAATGAGCATAGATACAATACTCAGACCTCACATTATATACAAAGTAACTCCATATGGGCTGAGGATCTTGGCATAAAATATGAAACTATAAAAATCACCAAAGAAAAAAAATTGGCACAAATAAGAAGGAACTATGAGCATAAATAGACAATCAAATATAATGGATGTATAATCAGCCAAGGACAAGATAGGTTATTTGGACCCTTTTTGTGCAACAAAAGAAGCCTCCTACAAAAGCATAATAAAGAGATCCTACAGACTGGAAGTGCATTTGGCAATGATGCATCAGACAAGCTACTCATCTCTATTTTTTTTTTATAAAAAAACCAACAAAACTCTAATACCTCAGCGGGAAAAAGACAAACCAATTACAAAGTGGGCAGAGGCCATGAACAGATATTTTACCAATGAAGACATTCAGACCATCAACAAACACACGAAGAAACATTCAAGATTATTACTGTTCAGAGAGTTGCAAATCAAAACAAGATATCCTATATCCCCTCACTCCAGCAAGAAGAGCAGCGCTCAACAAGACAGAAAAGAACAAATGCTGATGAGGCTGTGAAGAGCTCAGAAAGTCCTTTAATTGTTGGTGGGAATGGTAAAGGTACAATTACTATGAAAAGTTGGAAATAGAAATCCTATTTGATCCAGCAGTCCCACTACCAAGTATATATTGCACAGAAACAAGAACTATGACACAAACTGACATATTCACACCCATATATATTGCAGCATTATTGTAATAGCAAAGAGCTAGAAACAACTCAACTGCCTTTGAACAAATGAGTAGCTGAAAAAACTAGTTCACACAATTGGCTATTATGCATCGCTAAGAAATTATAAAAATTAGGTGAAATAACTGTGCAACATGGAGGATACTGGAACAAATTATGCTGAGTGACATAAGTCAATCAGGAAAGAACAATTATTATATGTCCTAGTTGTTGTTATGTACCGTCGAGTTGAACAGAGACCTAGTTGTTTCTTCAGGGGGTTTTCAGAGGAAGAAAACCACCTAAGAGATGGCTCATTTTTCTCTCGAAGAGAAGGTAGTAGATTTGAATCATGTGGCTTTTATTCATCACTAAGCCACTAGAGATACTTAATTATGGTATAGGTTCTGGTAGCCCAGTGGTAAGAATCTCAAATTGCTGTAATCTCAAAGGTATGCAGTTCAAGTCCACCAGCTGCTCCATGGGAGAAGAATGGACAATCTCCTCCTATGACATTTACTGTCTCTGAAAAACCAACTGGAGGGTTAGCTATGAGTCAGTTCCTACTTGATGGCACACAACAACAACAATATAAAAAGCTTAGGAAAAGTTTGGACACAGAATCAACTTAAGAGGGTTAAAAGAAATTAGAAGCAAGGGAGAGAGGAATAAACAAACAAAAAACATCACATTCATTTTAAAAGAAGTGCTTTCTAAGTCATTGGTGTGTTCTCCCTGTGCTTTCATTTCCCTTCCCCCCTGCTCCAGTGGCCACTTTTCCTTACCTCTCTCTTGTTTCCAGGTAGCACACCTCTCTAAAAGAAAAGAAAAAAAGAATATCTCATCTTTACAGAAAAATCTTGCTGATTATTGCTTATACCATAAACAGAGTGCTCAAATCTCCTTTTGTTAGTCAAAATTCTTTAATGACTCTATGCAGTGCTGGCTCCCAACAGTTGTTCTTATTTGCTGGACAAGTACTACTCTGTTTAGAAGCATATCATCTCAAGGACCCAAAGAGTGTGGGCCTTCCTTAGCTCCCAGAAGTGAAATTCTACTATGGTAAACCAACCCCAGCAATCCCATTTCCTTTACTAATGAGCAAGTTTCTCAGTTTACATCTTATTTAAAAGAAACATGAAGGAAAGCATATCTTTCAGCCTTTGGAAACTGTCATGTAAGAATATGAAATTTGGAGCCAACTGTTAAAGGGAGCTCTGGTGGCCTAGTAGTAAGGAGCTGTGCTGCCAAGCGGAAGGCACATGGTTTGAATCCACCAGCTGCTCCACAGAAGAAAGATGGGCAATCTCCCGCTGTGTGATTTACTTCCTCTGAAAAAGACACTTCAGAATTATCTGTTAAGTGAACACAAGTGAAAACATGCTGGGGGGGTCAGCTGTGGGTCAGCTCTGACTCGAGAGCAATAAGCTAATAATTTCTTTCTGAAGGAAAGCTAAACAAAATACTGACAGGAACACAGGGCAAGGGTAGATAATGATCTTAATGACAACTTTGAACCACTAACAACTCAGGTTCATATTGTTTTAGCTGCTGATTGTTGGATTTCCAGGAGCTCTGGTGGCATACTGAATAAGGAGTTGCACTTTCAATGCAAAGGCAGGTGATTTGAATGTACCATGTGCTCTACAGGAGAATGACGAGCACTCTCCTCCCATGAGAATCAGCTATGCACTGGTTCCCACTTAAGGGCACCTAACAACAACAGTTAGATCATCAGTGAGCTCTAGTGGCATAGTCAGTAGGAAGCTGCACTGCTAACCCAAATGGACCACTTTTCTGGTGGTTCAAATCTATGTGATGCTAACTGGCCTCAGAATGAGTATGTGAAGTGACCTACTCATTAAAATGTTAGTGGAATTCTTACGCAAGGAGATGGAAACATCCCAAGTGTCTATCAAAGGGGAAAATGTTTAAAAAAAACTATGGTCTATTTTTTACTGTTGCCAACCTACTCAATGGAATATTAAGGAACTCTACAGAATGGTGAAGAACTTTTGAAACACTGCGTAACATGGACACAGCTAAAGGAAATTATGCTTAGTGACTTAAAGCAGTCACAAAAGGACAAATATTGTATAAAATCACTATTATTAAAAGCTAAATAAAGTTTTATTCAAAAAGAGAAACATTGGTTACCACGGTTGGGAGTGGGAGGGGAGTAAAAATTAATAGACAATAGACACTTATTTGATTAGATGACAGGAAAAGCAGTATAAAATACTGGTCATACATAACTAATGAATTGCATTAACTGTATTGTTTGATAAACACTGTTATTTTAATTGTAGTTTATGAATTACATTGTTGTAATTAATGTTATAAAGTAAAATGTCTATTAATGATTGAAAGAAGAACAAATACAATTACGATTTGTAAACTTTCCCTTAAATAAGAAAAAGACACTTCATAGTTATTTGTTAAGTGAACACAAAATACCTTATTGGGCTTCAGGAGCCACAGTTAAATAAATTATAGATAATATTATTTCAGAATGTAATTAACCTCAATAATTCTAATTTGTATGATATGAAAAGATATATATATATACAATCTATCCACTTATTTATAAAAATTACTTTTGCATTATCAAAATTTCCTTACTTTTACCTTCTCTGTGGTGGGAATACCAAGAGTAATGCCACTATAAGAAGTCTTACCAGAACAGTCACTTTCAGAAGGACCTTCAATATTCATTTCTTTTCTGTAATCAGCAATTTGTTTGCCATTGCTATGAATGAAAAATGAGATATTTGTATTTTTTAAATTATATTCATTTTCCAAATATGCTTTAAAATCTTAGAATATTTCATATAACATCAGTGCTAACTTGAATCTTCATCCCATGCACTTAAAAGTTGCACTGGATTTTCACATATGCCCTCACCAAAAATACATACATTTTTAACATACATAGTGCACATAGATGAAGAAGGTATAAGGGGGATCCATGCTTTTAAAAAATTATATAATGCATGCATTATTTGTTTAAAAATAGATAATCTGTATAAGCTGTTTACTAGACATTCCCTAAAAGGCGTAGAGAAGGTAGGAACTGAATTTATAGCAGTGTAGCTCCATGAAAACTAGACTTTGCATGGCACAATGGAGAATATTTTGAACTCAGAAGCGGTCTTAGATTCTTAACAAACTTTTTTTATAGTGCACCTGTCACTGCTTTTAGGCTTAACATCATATCCCATAAAACAGAGCTATCATTGCCTGCTTTCACAGCTTGTTAGAAAGACTGAATGACATGATTTTCTCTGAAAAATGATCAGGGAAATAGTGACTAGGAAAGAATTATTTTATTACTGAAATGATTTTGGAATCCTGAATAAAGCCCAATGTGTGTGTATTTTGTCAAAGCCTCTGTCATGTCACTTTTTTTTTTACAAAATGTTAAATCCTAATTTTAGTTATTACTATGTGTTTGGGGAGCTCTGGTGGCTTATTGGCAAGAAGCTGCACTTCAATCCCAAAGGCACGCAGTTAGAGGCCACCAGGTGGTCTGCAGGAGAAGGATGGGCAATCTCCTCCCAGGGGGGAATTAACTTCCTCTGAAAACCCACCTGTGGGTCAGCTATGGATTGGTTACAGCTCTATACAGTACAACAACAACAACTCTGTATTTTGTAATTTCAAGGCATAATAGGTACCATGTAGTTAATAACTAAATTTATTCAAAGTATTTATGTATTAAGGTGCTCTCATAGCATAGTTTACCGAGTTAGCTCTACAGTCACATCTCTTTGGTGATATAAATCCACCAGCAGCTGCTCCAGATAAAGATGGATAATCTCCTCCTACACACAATACCACCCTTGAAAACCCAAGGGAGGGCCACTATGACTCATTTCTGACTCAAAAGTAATGAATTGTGAGGTGATGTTACTAGCTGCTCTATTAAATGATAGTAATCTCAGTAGTTTGAATCTACCAGGTTTTCTGTCTGTGCTAATATTTCCAACCTGGACACCATCTGGCCATGCTGCTATGGGGCAAATCTGAAAAGAATGTCCTGTGCTATGATATTTGTACACCTAGTTTTCTTTACAGATTGCATATAGAGGTACACCTATTTGTCAGTTTTGTTACTATTGAATGATTTGTATGTTGCCAATTACTTCATCTTAGATGTGTAAAGGCTTGAGTATTATTATTTGTCCCTATTAGTACAGCACTTGTCTGTCAGTTTGCTGTTCTGGAGTAGTTTGTGAGGTGCTCCAGTGCTGGAATTTGTGCCACCAGTGTCTCAGGTACCAGAAGGGTCACCCATGGTAAAGAGGTTGCAATAGAGTTCCTAGATTAAGACATACTAGGAAGAAGAACTGACCATCCATTTCCAAAACAATGGGCCTTTGAAACCAATGAACAGAGGAACAGATGTAATTATAGTAATAGACTTGGAGCCCAGATAGGAAATTGTTAAAAAACAAGTATACATGGATACAAACAGCTATTTAATTGGAACATGCAATGTATGAAGTATGAAAACACAAGGGTTGTAAAAAATGAAATGGAATGCATGAAGGCATTAAAGAACTGAGATGGACAAGTAGAGTCCACTTTGAATCAGACAGTCACATGATCTACTATGCTGGTAATGAAAGACTGAAGAAGAATTTGTTGCTTTCATAGTTAAAGGCAATTTCAAGATCCAACCTGAAATAGAATGCTGAGACAGGATACTACTATCCATATGCATATTATAAGGCTCTAAAGAGATGATTATTATTCAAATATAAGTACCAACAACTAAAGAGAAAGAGGAGCAGATTGAGGGTTTCTACCATCACTTGCAGTTTGAAATTGATCAAACATGCAATCAAGAGATATTAATAATTATTTGATACTTGGAATGCAAAAGTTGGAAACCATGAGTAAGGAATGGTAGTCGGAAAGTATGGATATGATGACAGAAATGAGACTGGAGATTAAATGATTGTGCGCTAAATTTATTCATAGCATATAACTTTCTTTAAAAAAGGCTAAGGTAGTGCATTGACCAGAAGTTCAAGCTAGTTTTAGAAGAGGCTGTGGCATGAGGGATATCACTGCTGGTATCAGATGGATACAGAATGAAAGCAGAGAAAACGAGTAGAATTTCTATTTACCATACAAAGGCATTTGTGTGGATTATTACAAATTATAGCTAACATTGAGAAGAAAAGGAATTCCAGAACACTTAATTATGCTCAGAGGGAAACTATACCTAGACCAAAAAGCTGGTCTGAGTGGAGTAAGGGAACACTGCATGGTTTAAAATCAGAAAGGGAGTGTGTCCAGGTTGTATACTTTCTCCATACCTATTCAGTCTGCATGCTGAGCAGACTCTACAAAAAAAAATGTGGCATCAGGATTAGAGGAAGACTCATCAACAGCTTGAGTTATGCAGAAAACACAACTCTGCTTGCTGGAAGTGATGAGTACATGAAACACTTGTAGCAAAAGATCAAGGACTAAAGCCTTCAGTATAGATTACATCTCAACATCAATAAAACAGTTTTCACCATAGGACCAACAGTAAACATTATGATATATGGAGAAAGGATTGAAGTGGTAAATTATTTCACCTTGCTCGATCAGCAATAACACCTTTGGTACCAGCATTTAGAAAATCAGGAGACATATTGCATTGGGCCAGACTGGCATTAGAGATCTCTCCAAAATGCTAAAAAACCATGATGGCAGTATGAAGACTAAGGCTTGCCTAATTCAGGCCATGGTATTCTCAATCATCTGCTATGCATCAGAGAGCTAGATAATGAATAATGATGACAAAAGAATTGATGTCTTTGAGTTGTGGTGCTGAAGAAAAGTACTGAATATCCCATGGACTGCTAAAAAGTCTCGGAAAAAAATTAGGATGCTCCATGGAGGCAAAGATGATGAAATTTCATCTTTTATATTTAGGACATGTAGCTAGGTAAGGTTATTCTTTGAAGAAAAGCATCATACTTGGAAAGATGGAGGGTTAAGGAAGGAGAGGAAGACCCCCAACGAGATTAACTGATGTGATGACTTCAGCAATGGGCTCTAGTGTGTCAGAGATGATAAGGACGGCACAGGACAAGGCAGGGTTAAGGTCAACTGGTCATAGGGTGGTTATGAGTCTACTCGACTCAACAGCACCCACAATAACAACATACAAGGCTTTCAGAATGGGCACGAGGAAGGTCCATTTGCTCACTATGTGGGTGGCATAAACTAGTAGGAGGAGCAAGGTCCTAGTTGTCAGAGCAGGATGCCAGTGTTTTAGAGAAAAATGGGTGAACCAATAAGCATATAAGCATTTAAAAACACAATTGAAACTCCAACTTGGATGTGTAAGTGTGGGTTAACACTTAAGATTGTGAGGGATCTAGAGAGCTGGTGGCTTAGTGTCAAGAAGCTGCACTGCAATTCTGAAGGCACACAGTAGGAATCCACCAGATGCTCCATGGGAGAAGGATGAGTAATTTCCCTCTGTTCCAGTCAGATCTGACTTGACAGCATGTACACACACACACACACACACACACACACACACACCCTGCCCCCAAATAACAACAATAACAGAAAGATTGTGAGAGATCTAATCTAGCTCTGGAAGAACATCTTTGTAAGCAAAGGTCAATCTTGCAACCTTAGCAAATTCCTAGGATTCTTGGAAAATTCAATGGGAGGGTATAGGAGATAGTCCCTAAGGAAAATGCAAGTTTATCTGTTAAGCCAGGTATTTCAAGAATCAATGAATTAGAAAATCCAAGATGTTTTCCTATTATATTAAATACATAGAGGTTATACTTGGAACAAAATTTGTAATGTTAGAATTCCTAAGGTAAAAGTCTCCAAATCCCCATAACCACTTCTTTCCATCTAAGAACCTTGCATCAGATGTTTTGCTTGGTTTTTGGCTGCTGATATGGAACAACTCATTACCATTCCAGGGCTATCTTTCTCACCTGTTATATATAAATAGTAATATTTAGAATATTAATTTCATGAATTAGCAATGAATGGTGTAGTTCATAGTATGTTACTGAGCTAATCAAGAGGTTTTGCCACACATAGTTCAAATCTACCAGCTACTCCTAAGCAGAAGATGGACAATCTATTACCTTTGAGATTTATAGCCTCCTCATAAACATAAAGGAGGTTCACTTTGATTTGGGACCCACTTGATGGAAGCAAGGTTTTCAAGTTAGTTAGCAATGACCACGGTTTTATGGCAAACACTTACATTTGTTTATGCCCTACAATTGCATAGTCTTCTGCAGTCCATCCAAGGCTATCTTTACAAAGAACATCAACATGTTGCTGAAGCAGCAGTTTGACTATGGCTGGGTCATAATTTACAGCAAGCATGAGAGCTGTTCTAAAATGACAAAGAGATCATTTCATCCTTAGGAACGTTATTTTCCCCAACTAATTTGCTACATTTTACCAAGCTATGATCTAGACTGCCTCTGTAGAATTAATCATAAGAGAGTTGCATTGTTAATTCAAAATGCAGTGCCACTCTTGTGGTTCAAATCCACCACCAGCATCTCCACAGTAGGAAAAAGGGCACTTTCTTCCTGTGCAACTTAATACCTCTAAAACCCACTGGAAACTCAGCTATGAGTTGGTTTCTGACTCCAAGGCAATGAGTGTTTGTGTGTTTTTAAAGAGACATAAGCATTTTAGATGTTCATATACTCTCTTTATAATTTAGTTCTGTTGTATTAAGGGTTTATTGTTCAAAATGGCTCCCTATCCTATTCCTTATCCATTTGCCCTTGGGGATGGGTGGGAATATGTGAATGTTGTTGTTGTTGGTTGTGTTCTAAGCAAGGATGACTCATAGTGACCTTATGATCAAAAGGCCTGAAGCCCCTCTACAATTATCAACACTTATCAAAGTTCATAGAATTTCCAGAGGAATATTGTTTAGGAAGTGGATGCCACTCCTGCTTCCAAACCTATCATAGTATGCTATTATTGTTATGTGCCATTGAGTCACCTGCAATGTAAAGCAACCCTATGTACAGCAGCTGAAGCCTATCCTGTCCTGAGCCAGTCTCAATAATTCCTACACATCAACCCCCATTGCCCCATTCAATGAATGAATCCATCTCAACTGGTGTTCCTTTCCTACACTGTCCGTCCACCCTTCCGAGCATGATGCCCTTCTCTAAGAACTGTTCTCTCCTGGCCACATGCCCAAAGTAAGTGAGGCGGAGCTTCAAAAATCCCAGCCTCCAAGGAGAGACTTGGTTTTGCCCTAAGACAGACTGATTTGTTTTCTTGGTAGTTTATGGCATGTTCGAGACTCTTCTCCAGCACCACAACTCGAAAGCATCCATTCTATTACCATCTTTAGTCATTGTGCAGCTCTAAGAAGCATAACAAGTAATTGAGAAGACTAAGGCCTAGATTAGGTGCACCTTTGTATCTAGACTGACTTCGTTGCTCTTCAGCACTCTGGAGAGTTCCATGACAACAGATTTTCCCAATGCAATTAATCTTTTGATTTCCTGACTGCTGAGTGTTGATGGTGGAGCCAAGCAAGCTGTAATTGCTAACAATCTTAACCTCTTTTCCATCTATTATGGAGCTTCATTCTGGTTGTTTTGGTCTCAGTACTTCAGTTTTCCTCCTCATCCACCTTTATCATTTAATCTTTGCTTAGAGTGATGGCTGACCTTTGCTTGTAGATTTTATTGGAGCATTGTACTCATGGGCAATATCCTTTATTTTGTGTGCCAATCTGTTGTCTTGCTAAAAGGTGATCTCAGGGAATAGTTTTGGTTCAAGATTCAAAGAGTATTTCAGAATAACAGTCTCAGAAGATATGAAGTCTCAAGTGGTCTAATAAATCTGGACTTCAGTAGTAACAGCTAGGCACTATCTTTTGGCCATGACATCCAATTATCATTGAAGGATAGATGATTATCCATCTTTTCAAGCCAGGAAAATCACTGTGATAGTAAGTAACATTCACAAGGTCACATTGTAGAGTTTACCATTTAATATGAATTTTCCTAGACAACATTTGACTTTATCATGTCAATGGGTGGGAATATGTGAATAGGACATGTTAGCCTATCCACAAGAGAATTGTCTAGTCTTGCTAATCAATAAGAGGATTGGTTAATTTTGTCATTTGCAACCCAGCAAAGAGAAGGAAGCAAGAGAATGTAGGATGCCCTTCCTGATCAGATGTTTTCACTCCAGCTATACCTACAGCAGCAATAGCCATGGGCAAATTGGAACCCAGAGGTGAAATGAGACCTGGGTACTACACCACCACTGGAATCAGAGCAAAGAAACTTTGCCCAAGTTTGTTGGATAACTGGGGGTGGAAAGTGAATATTGGCAGGACTGAGAATTCTGGAACACTGGCCTAAAGCTGTGACACTCAAGGAAGACATATTTGTGAGCACAGTTCATAAGCTGTCTCTCCTGACCTGTATTCTGTTACTAACCTACATTATAGCCCTTTATTTTCCTTAACATGATTCTGTATAGTCAGTGAGCTATCACATCAGGTTTTGGACTCAGCAAAGCAGTAAGATTGGTGTTGAGATGAGTAGAAAGAGGTATGGGAGCATGTCTAACCTCATGGAAATTAGTTTTGTGTTATTGATGCTTCTGACAGGAACAGTTCCCCTTTGTGAAGTTGTTAAGTTTCATATAGTGTCATCCTGTGGCCCTTCCTCTTTTTACACACATATCTGTCAAATTAGAAATCTAGGGATTAAACTAAACTTGTGTGACTCTAAAGGTCTTACCTTTTCATTACTACTCGTTTTATTAAAGTCTAATTTCAGGATGAAGAGTATAAAGTATAGAGTATATTTTCAGACTGAAGGGTAATGAGTACCACTTTTCATTATATTTCCTTCCTTCTGCTTATGTTGTTGTTGTTAAGTGTCTTCGAGTCATTTGCGACTCATAGCGACCCTATGTACAACAGCCCTAAACCCTGCTCTATCCTGTGCCAATCGCACTGCCTCTGACACACCCATCCC